GGCAGCGGTGTGTGCCAAATGATGTGATTTTTAAAGGATTAAAAGAAATACCATGCTGAAGAGTGAACTGCCTAGTCATTTAAATGTTATTCACAAAAGGGAGGTTAACTAAGGGAACGATTCCAAGGTTATCCAGAGACTCTGTGTAACTTGTTCACCGGGGCCATGGGCAGGAATATATGCAATGCCCATTACTGTGTGGACAAAGATTTAGGGTTGGTAAGGAACTTATGTAGTCAGAAAATGAAATTCTCTCAAGGTGTTTTACGGAAGCCTTTAGGACGCTAAGTGTAGAGCAAACCAGTTTTCACATCTCCTTCTCTCCGTGTCTCTTTCTGGAACCCTAAGGCTTGGAACATATGTACTGACTTGTTCTACCTTGCTAGCATGCTTATTTTTATCTTCAGAGTTATTTGTTAAGCAGGGGAATGGCTGCAGATCACCTGCTCACCTGGTTGTTTAGCGTCTGTCAGCATTTTTACTCTGGAATTATTTTTTCAGTGACTTCTAATCCTGGTGCAGAAGTTTTTTCTGCATGCTGTGAGTTGGCATGGACACCTTTAGGTCTGAAACAATTAAAAATAAATAAAATTGGACACGTATTTTAGAGAGATACCTTTTTAAATCTATTTCTTACAAAGAATTTTTAAAAACAATTCCAAATTTCTTTTGGGATTAGAGTCCAAGTAGCCAAATATTTCACAAGGCATAATTATTGGAATTATCCTTACGACTCTGATGGCTTACTTCAAGATTTATGAAATGGTTGTTAATCAAGTTTGCAGCAAAAAGAACAATTAGTTATATGTTTATTGCATATTTATAGATCCTAGGATTAAAGGATTTAAATGTATCAATATAATTTGCATTCCATGCTTCACTGGCATTCATTTGCTTGATCAGAAAACTATATTTATACATATGTATGTTTATCTAATTAGAATTACCAGTGATATCCTCATAGTAATCAAAAAAATAAGACTAAACTTAAGAATTAGGTTTTATATTATTTTAGGTTGTTTCTAATAATTAATTTTATGGGATTCAATAAGCACACTTTTAAAATACTAAAAAAATCTATGATTTTCTTGTTTCAGAGCAGTTTCTCAGTCTTGTTAGTATGAATATTTTGGTCTGGATAACTGCCTGCTATGGGGAGCTATCCTGTTTGTTATAAGGTGTCGGTAACGTGTCTACTTCTACCCATTAGATGCATGTAACAAGCCCATGGTTATGATAACCAAAAATATCTCTAGATATTGGCAGACTTCCTCTGAGGGTAGAATCACTGTTTTAAAATATTTATTTTATATTGAAATTTATGTATAATATTATTATACTCAAATATTTTAACTTCTAATAAAAGTGACTTAATTTATAGTGGGTGATTAAAAACACCTGGTGTAGCGGGTTGAAGATTTTATTGGGTCAAATAATAAGGCTTTAAATTCTGATTGCTTTGCTTTTTTCATTTGTTACAAAAAAGATAAATTATTCAGCAAATTAATTCTGGGAAGAAAATTCAGCGACTCTGACATACCAACAGTGCATTTACAGTTACTGTTTCCATGTTTCAGTGCCTGTGTTTGTTATACTAATTCGCCAGAGCTGAGATATTCCCCTGGTCAGACATGACTTCACCTCAATAATTACAAGAGAAACCTTTATAATGTTGCATTGGCTTTCCACAGGTATGGGAGGATGAGTGCAGACACAACTTTTGTCCTAAAATAATTTATAATCTGGAAGATAACATGAAATAATCTACTTCCTGAGATGGATGATAAGAGAGTGTACAGATAAAAGACCTGGAGCAGAGTGTTCTTGTCTTACCAGAAGCTAATGAAGCTTAAACCTCCAGACTGCTCACAGGCAGAAGTTTTCTTCCAAAGCCCAATTTTGTATTTGTGATTTTTTTCCCCCTGTTTTTCTTAAAGTGGGCCTGCATGAATTATGCAAGTTAACGCACCACAGACCAAATCATGTCCCTGAACATGGCGTTTCCAAGGCTGGACAGAAAAAATCCATGGGTAGGCACAAATGCATTAGAGAAGGATCTTTGAAGGATGGACATCCATGGATTGTCTTCATTTCATGCGTAATTTTAGAAACTATTTATTCTTTTACTTCCCAAGGGGAGAATCAAATCTCTGGGAGCTGGACTGTACCATTTCTCTCTATGTATAAAGGGATTCCACAGTACCCGATTTGGCCAGGGCATACCCGTCTAGTGGTTTAAACGTGATGTGGACTATGGTACAGATGGTTGAAGAAGATACTTTTAAATAATAATGATGGTGAAGTGTTGTTCACTGATACTGGATGTCTGAGTAGTGTGTGCACCAGATTTGGTGTGGAGGTCAAAGAGAGTGCGTGGAGGGTACTGTTGACTTGGCAGGTGGAAATGAGAGGACCCACGTGGGCAGGGGTTACTGACAAGGTCATGAGGCAGGCAACCAGCAGGGTGCATCTAAGCTTGGCTGGATGTCTTGCCACACCCAGGGTGACAGAATCTGCTTCACAAACCAGAGTTGTATGACCACTGGAGGAATTTCCCCCATCCTATCAAACCCATCTCTCTTTGGAATGCCCTTCAGTGTGCATGCTGCAATTCTCTGAGATGCTCAGATCAGAAATTCACCAAGTTCCTTTCTCTTACAAACGTTTTGTAGGTGTAAGAGATCCTCGGCTTTACTCCTGCCCCATCTACAAGAAGCCAGTTCGAACAGACTTAAACTACATTGCAGCGGTGGATCTCAGGACTGCCCAGGCCCCGGAACACTGGGTACTCCGAGGAGTCGCCCTCCTCTGTGACGTCAAGTAATGTGGGAGTGTCCTGATGTAAAACCCACATCATCCTTGCTTTTATTCCCCGAAACGCTGGACAGTGTATGAATCAGGTTTCTCCTGCCATTAATGGATGCACAGCCTCCCCCAACTCCTTGGATGTTTAGGTTAATTTACCTCTTCATTGGTACATTTAGGTACATTTACCTTTTCATTGTTAGTGACCAAGCTCTGTATTTGTTTAAATTTTTTTTTTAGTCATTTAAAAGCAAAATCTACAACCTCCTAATGAAATTGGCCCTCAGATCTACACTAGATTAATCCACTATATTAAGCAGAAGGTATTCAGGTTCTCTAAGGTAGCACAGTAAGTTTTTGCAGATTTTGCTTCTATTGCTGTTTACATTGGGGTCAGGTTAAGAGATTTATTTTCAGGGCTTTAAGCAGCTAATTAAAAAGGACTTTTGAAAATGGAAGGAAATAGAATGGGTTAAGAATGCCAATAGATTATTCATGTAAACCTATAAAATAAACATGCGAAAGAATGTTTAATCCCATTTATAATTAGTAATTAGTAACTAATTGATGTCTCATAACTAAAAAAAAAAATAGTTGAAAGAGAATCACAGTGTGGTGTCTGTAAAACTGACACACTCTAAAATTTCTAGAGCCATGTAAATTGACCCAACCATTTTATAAAATAAACAGAGAATGAACCATTAACATGTTCACATTCTTTGATTCTTATTTTCTCTCCATCAAGGAAACAATTTAAATAACTGAAAGCAAATGACTTATAGAGTTATATTTAACAACAGAAAAAATTGGAGTGCCCTAAATACTCGGTAGTAAAGCTATGCTTTATTGAAAATTTCATAATGTGGAGATGGCAAACACGTGATTAAGTGAAAGATATAGGTCACAAAATATGTAGCACACACACTATTATTATAACTGTAGCAAAAATCAGGCAATAACATGGAAAAATAAAGTCAGGTGAAAAACAATTGACTTGAAAAAATATAATAATTAGAAGAAAATATAGGAAGAAGATAAATGTTTTATAGTCTGGGTATTTCACAAGGGCTTTTATTAAGTAGGAAAAACATTATGTAAAGATTTTTTTCATTCATTTTACTTTAAATTTGTTGCAAATTATGAACTGCTTCATCTATAAACTATTGTCTAGAAAAATTGGTCAGTACTAAGTTAGAATTGTGGTTTTCAGATGTTTGGTTAGCTCTAGATCTGCGAACTGCATGTTTCTCTGTGATAACAGGTTTCATGGAGGTGAGCCTGCCAGGAGACAGGCTCTGGTCCCCTTCATTAGGCTATGGTCTGTGACCAATCCCATTATTTTATGCTAATTAGGATGAGATCTAGGCTTGAGTAGTTGATATGACTTCTGCTCTTTTTGGGTGACACTGTTCTCATTTAAACAGCTTCCTTTGGTATGGATTAGTGTATTAGTTGATTCGTGTGAATTGTGATAAACCCATCATTTTGTTTTTAAGAGCAAATAATGAAAACGTGAGCAAGATACAAATTAATAAAAGATTGTTAATAAATGCCTGAGTTGAATTGTTTATTAGAAAGGGGGGTAACTTAATTAGAAAGCTTATTTCTAGATCCATCAAGGATCTAGAAATAAGCTTTAAAAATGCTATTTTGGTTAAATAATTGGAAAATGTACAATTCGTACAATTCATACAATTTTGTGATATATAGCTCTTGGCCTAGATGTGCAAATCTTGGAGACCCAACATAGAGAAGGACCCCAGGAAGCAACTCAGTCAAACATCTTAGGAATGAGTTTAACGGGGAATGTCTCCGAGGCCCCTTACATCTTTGGTTCTACCCCCAGCTGCTCAGGTGGGCAGGACAGGGCCATTGGTTGACTCTGCCAGATGATGGAGGGTCCCTGACTGTCTCGAATGTGGGGCAAACCACTGCAAGGGAGCTGGTGCCATTGACAGTGATAGAGCAGCCTCTTTCACCTTCCTCAACACGGATTGAGTCAAGAGTTTATTTCACGCCTCCCGTGTATCAGGCACTCTGCTGGAGCAGTGGTGAAGAAACCATTTCACTATGCCTAACCTCACAGAATGCACCCAACAGGAGCAGATACAGAAAACAAGCAATTATTCTGGTATGCAGTTATACATGACCTCAATTTATAAGTGTATAGCACTACATGTGTGGGCTACAGGAAGGAAAATACTGGATGCACATAACAGGAGAGGCTGCAGCATTTTAGTCATGTCATGGATGAACTGGAAGAAGCCAAGCTCCCATGCCCCCCCCTTTATTTTTAACTAAGGGCACAAAGCTTAATAGTAATGGGGTGTTCTCCTGAGTTGGAGCAGCTGCTGCTCATCCTGGCTTGGTTTCCCATGTATCACCTGCAGCTGCTGTGACCCTTTTATGAAAGTAAGATCCTTCCAGAATTAAGGGAAAAAAGGTAAAATCTTGCCTCATGATGAACTGCCCTTTAATGCATGGGGCATACATGAATGTTCCTCAGAAACTTAGCCCAGCCTTCACTGAATGTCCTCTACAGGGAATGTTGGCAAACGTTGTACCAACTCAGCATTAGTGAGGCTGTGTGCCATCAGGGGACCCAGCAGAACCATGGTCCAGGTGTTCTGGAGCAGCATCTCTACTCTGGATGCTGTTTTCCTGCAGAGACCTAATTTGATTGGGCCATAAGGAAAGACAGCTTTGAGGAGGTGACATCTAAATTTAGACCTGAAGGAGAAAGGGAGACATCTAGACACACAGATCTGGGTACTGGCTGACAATTTCTAAAGGGAGAAGGTAAGCACAGGGTGTGAAGGAAGAGTGACAGGAAACACTGGCTTGGAGTGGAGGGCAGGCGGGTGGGGTTCTGCTTTCTCAAGGTCATGTTATACCCGTTATGAAGGCTGCCAGGACAGAGTAGTGGATGATGGCATTTGTGTTTCTAAGCCATTGGAATGAGGAGTGTTAAATGCTATTTGCAATAAAAATGTCTCACAATAAAGAACTCAATATCCAGAGACATGATGAGACAACCACAAATTTTATAGTTAAATATCATGTAAAGATTTTATATTATGACAAAATATACAACACGCAACACCAACATTGCCATTCTCAATACTTCTTTTGGTTTTTGTTTTTGATACTGGGATTGAACTCAGGCACTAGACCACTGAGCCACATCCCCAGCTCTATTTTGTATTTTATTTAGAGACAGGTCTCACTGGGTTACTTTGTACTTCATTTTCACTGAGGCTGGCTTTGAATTCACGATCCTTCTGCCTCAGCCTCCTGAGCTGCTGGGCTTGCAGGTGTGCACCATAGTGCACCGGTATTTTTTTTACCGGGCACTACATTATTGCTCCTTGCCGTATGTCTTGCTGGTAGAGCTAAGACATAATACATTTTTTGTTTGAAGATGCATTATATAAAACAAAATATGTGAAAATAGTGTACTGTAGTTTCTGAAATTTTTATAATATAAATGTTTTATTATTTACAAAATAATAAATTATATGTATGAAAAATTTCTCTTAAAGACAATACCCCCCCAAAATAATCTGCAATGTGTTTTTTTTTCTGAAATGGACTTGCTTTTACAGTTTTAATACTTTTCTCATGCAAGCATTAGAAATGATATTTAAAAATTTTAGTGTGCAGTTGATTGTGGTTGATTAATAGATCCTGTCAGCACATCTAAAGAATGCCTCATAATGGTAAAAAAAAATGAACTTTTATATTCACAATATGGTCCTCCAGATTGGGCCAATGCTTTGGAAAATCAATAAACAAATTAGGTTTTGAAAATATGAGGGAATCTGATGGTATTTTTGAAGTTTATGCATTCTGATTTGGCATCTCCTGTGTCCAATAGGTGTTTATCCATAAGTATTTCCAAAAACAGAGAATAGGAAAGAATTCAAGGTCAGCTTTAGAACTAGACACACAATTGGACTAAGAACAGTGAATTCACAAATATGTTCCTAGCAATTTTCAAGGGTGAGAGACTTATTCTATGTTGCACATAAAGGAAAACCCATTTACTTGATGCAGGAGTAGACTGTTGCTTGGCTGACGTGCACCTTGAGAGGTGTTTCCTGTTCTGGTCTTCAGCCTGGGCAACTGTCAGTTGGAGCATCCAGGTGGACAGTAATTAGAGCCAGAATCCTGCTCTCTCCCTTGCATAAAAAAAAAGAAAAAGAAAATATAGAGACTCCGTGGGGAAAAAGGAGCATGAGCTGTGGATGGAAGCATCCTGGATAAGAAGTAGTTTCAGGTTTCCTTTCCTCAAAAACATAGCATTTGCTTATTACCCATAATCTGGCAGATGAATACAATGAGTTCATCTTAAAACTCCTCAAATGGCCTTGTCAAAATGGCTTCCTTATCCACTGGATTTCAGATTTTACATTATGAAACGATAACAGTGTTATCACTTATTGTTATCATCTCAACCATCTGAAGGATTAATCTGGAGTCTTATAAAGTCTTATCAGTGCCTTCTTAGAAGCACCCAGGAAGACACTGTGGATTTGGTTAATGAGTGTGCTTTCTATTCTGTCTTTGTGCCTTTTCTGATTTAGGTCTCCATTTAGTTCTCCAAGCCTCTGGATTTATAGGCCTGTTTAATTGTTTCCAAGCTTGAGTTTATGTTGGGTGGGTGCAGAGCAAAGATTGGGAGCTTTGTCCTCTCTTTAATTTGAATGCATAACAACGGTATTTTTTTTTACCGGGCACTACATTATTGCTCCTTGCCGTACGTCTTGCTGGTGGAGCCAAGACATAATGTGTAGCATGATGCTTTGCCCTGTTCTCGTTATGTTTTATGATGACCATAATACCTTTCTTCATTTATTTTTTTGACTTAGGCTAATATGCTCAGCATTCATATCGAGTGTAATCACAAACAGACTCGCCTGGGAAGCCAATTAAGTTTTCCCAGTATTTTGTGCAGGAGTCAATTTTAATAAGACCACTTAGAGTGCTCATTCTGAGTAGCTCAGGAGGGAGAGAGATTAAGTGCGATGAAGGACACTGTAGGCACTACCTGGAATTAATGAAACGGAGTGACCAGTGAAGGATTACGAATGAAACCTGTGCTTGTAGGTGATATTGCATATTCCTTACTGCCCACCGCAGTTTAAAATTCACTGCCAAGCTTTGCCTTGCTCAATGCAGTCAGCTGTAATGTGTCCATTTATAATTTATTTATGCAAATACATAGAGCAAATCCCAGAAGACCCAGAGAAAAATAGCTTATAAAACATCTTAGTATGTTATCATTTAAAAAAGTATTTGCATGCACCAGATAAACATTTTGCTATTCTAGCAAATAGTGAAAATGTTTCTGGTGTTTCAGAAATGTAATAAATTGCTGTTGTTCAAATTTTATATCTCCTGATACATTATACCACAAATACCAAAGATTTATAAATGATACAAATAAGGGGCTATAAAAAATATGATCATTGTAAGTTGAATCGTATTCTTGGAAAACAAAAAAAAATTCTTGATATTTTAGTGGTATTAGAAATAAAAAAATGGTACATTAGCTATAGAAAATATCTATTTTTAGTTTATAGACTGCCCTGGCTAATTTTTACTTGTTGTTTGTTTTTCCAATTTATTTCCCCAATGTTGAAAGTCTACCAATAATCTATGGAAAAAAACCAGAACATATTATTTGAATCATTGATACCACACAACTATGAGTAAATCAGTGCTAAATTTGGGATGAATGTGGACTAGTGAGAGATCTAAGTTTATGTAAGAGGTGTGGATTTTCAGGTTAAAAAAATCAGATTCTACATGTACATAGTAAACTATGAGCATAATGTATTCAAAGAGGTTGAATAAAGAGGATGTTTTCAAAGGTAAAATGAGAGTTTACATAAGATATTCTGGAATATTAATC